GGGAAATTTTGGGGGCGTTGATTGGGCTGGCTGCTCTGATGGGCGCGCCTGAGGGAGCTTGGGATGACACCACGTTGATCATCAAGAAACGTTGTTTGGTGTGGAGAAATTTAGAAGCACCACGTATCCCTCGGGTTTTTGTCCACTCATTTTACATAACAGGCACAATTTTCTATCTTCTCCCTCTTTTTATCTTCTCACTCATAATTACTTGTTGAGTGGAGCAGAATAGCTCAGAAGCCCTCTTGAAAATAGGAAATCTCTCTTCCTCATCTAAGTTCTAACACATCTCTCTCAACACAAACAAACCTCCCTCCCTCTCTCAATACATCTCGGAAGTTTTTCCATCTTTTCTCTCAAATGGCCACTCCCAGTGGTCACCAGAGGGCTGCCGAACACTCCCGTCGACTTTGATTTTCGCAAGTCTCAAATTCTTTGCTAGAATACTTTTCAGATTCAAAGGCTACAAATCCCAGGTACTTTTTTGTTTTCTTAGGGTTCTCATGTAAAATATGATATGGGGTTGATTGTGGGTTTCTGAAAGGGTGTCTTTGATTTCTTTTTGCAGGTTTGTTCATCGTATTTGGCCTCCCGTGGAACAGAAGGGCCCCAGCTCTGCATCTTAGTTCATGTATCCTTCATTTTCGATGTTGGCTTTTTAAAGTTATTCTTTGGATGCTTTGGATTTCACTATATTTTGGTACTTCTGAACGGTAGAGGTTTCTTTCTTTTGGTTCAGTGGATCGGAATTCCCTGTTTTGTCCCCTGCCGCTCTTCTTCTACTCTCTATTCAAGATTTGCTGCTAGGGTGGACTTAACGAAGGTTCGCATCTTCATCGCCATGCTCAGTCAAGGTTGTGGTCTGAGATTCCATCTCTCCCCCCCCCCCCCCACCCTCTTCCCTTTTTTTATCTACCCAGTTTTCTATTACTTTATCTGACTTTTTTTTGCTGCTTTTGAAGGCGAAATTATTTTTGGGGCGAACGATGAGAGGATTAAGTAGCAGGTCATGGAGTTATGTTATAGGGAGGAACTCTTTTGCTGGCTATTATCTCTCTCCTCTGCGATGATAAGTATTACCTTCTTTTTCGATCACTGATCTGCTTCCTTTCTCTCTTTCTTTTTCTCTCCAGACCGGAAAGGCGGTTCGCTGATTTGTCCTATTTTCTTCACTTGCCACTGAGAGAAAGTAGAACTTCAGGTTGCTCAATTGATTTGAAAGGTACATGGAGGTTCTGGTGAAGAAGTCGATCCACGAATTGGAATTTTTCGACTTAGGCAAATGCCAACTGAAGTACTGGCCAAAGATTCGACCTTCGCTTTATTATGGCTCTTTCTTTCCATTATTTTTTCGATCTCTCGCATGCGTGTATCTTCTCTTTTCTAATGGTCTTTTAAATGGTTGTAAGGTCCAATTCACATTGTAGTTCCATCAGAAGTTTGCAGATGAATTGTTGCTTCAGAGAACTTTCTTCTCTAATAATTGTAGATCAGTTGAATCCACTTAAATACCCTGCAGTTTTGCCGTAGTTAGTTTGGCAAGTTCGTAGTGAGGAAACCTTAAAATTTAATGGTTCGGTCCCTTTGGATACCCTGTAATTAAATATATTGTTTAAAATGCCATTTCACATGGTCTTCCAATATTTACTGCTATGCCATGCTTCTTTCGGATTTTGGTGTGCCCAGCCCACACATATTTAATGGGTCCAATGTTGTGATATAACAAAAATTTACGTTGATGCATTTGAATTAGGATATTTATATATTGACGCATATCAGCATATCAATTCTACATTTTGGCTTATCGGTAACAAACCTTTTAGCTTTGCGTTAACGAAATTATTGTACATTCATAAAAATAAAAGATGACTTGCCATTTGTTTACTAATACTACCTTCCATTTCCTTGGATTTTAATTAACAAATTAATTTTGTGTGTGTAAAGATCACATTAAACACGTAGTTACCCTTTTTGTTTTTATAAATGTGCCACAAATTCCGGCGCAGAGCGCGAGAATGAAAACTAGTAATTGTAATACTAGAAGGAAACGAAAATACTAAGACTCTACTAGAAGGACAAGAAAATATAAGATTATTTCTAATCTATCTCTAACACGCCCCCACAAGATGATGGTGTGAAGAATTACATCAATCTTGACTAAATATGCCAATCTTGAAGAACACGCCCGCGCAATGTAATGTTGTGGAATGTGATGCAAACTCATCGAACTCCTGTGCTTGAAGAACGAAGCCAACTAATCGTCATCTTGGAGGGGAAGAAATCATCAAACTTGAAATTCAAATGTTGCAACGAAACTCACTCGTCGTCAGAAATGGACCGGAAACGAGATGAACAATAATCATTTGGTTTTAACGATACCAATAAACGTAAACTGGTGTAGGACACAAAGAATTCATCCGAATGACTGTGGTCAGAGAAACTTCCTTTGTTCCATACACACAGAGGAGAGATGGTTGGAGATTGATTCTGTTCCATACCATACATACTCTTGAGCAATCAGTTGTAAAAGCCGGAACGTCATCGTCTCCGAAGTAAGGCGGTAGTGATCGATCTTCATAGTACAAAAATTTGGCAGAGTCGGCGACAAAGAAAAGTAGGGATAGTAGGGATAAGTAAGCGATGAAAGATTGATTTGGGGAATGGCAACCGGATTCTTGGACTTTGCTGGGGACGAGATAAAGGGATGGGGATCAGGTTGATTGGGATTGAGAAAGAAAGAAAGAAAAACATAAACTAGTAAACCTTAAGGCTACGGGAAATAAAAATAAATCATAAGGAAGATGACAATAAAATTGTGAATGGAGATGAGATGAGATGAGATGAGATGAAGGGGAATGCTAATTAGCCTGGAGATTGGGGACTCATCCCGCCGATCTGGGGAAAAAAACTTAAGGGTTCTTAGATAAGTAGGCTGTTAAATCGCATCTGATATCATATAGGAGTTTTATGAATAGTAACGTGTAATTTGTACCTTGTATTATTATGAAATCTCAAAGTAGTTTATATAGATTATAAGATTTGGACAATAAATAAGAGAGCAACAATAATTGTAATACTAGAAGAGCACGGAAATACTAAGGCTCAACTAGAAGGACAAGGAAATATAAGATTATTCCTAATCGATCTCTAACAATGTACGTATAGGTTGTATTCAAAATTTGAGGATCAAATTTTGAGTTTTTTTAAGTGAATTGGAAGTTCAAGAAGAAAAGAGGAAGGCAAGTGAAAATAAAGTGGGGGTGTTGAGTGGTGACCGAAGTGGCCCCTTTTTTAGATCCTAGGGCAGCGGCGGTGAGGTGGCGGGTGTGACCGTCATTGCTTCACTTCGCATTGATTGACGGTTTCCCTCATTTTTTTCGTTAGAGCACTTACCTCAATAGTACAAAAGTTGATTTTGTACAATTTTTCACATCATCAAAACCTTCTTTCTCGTTATAAGTTCAAAATTTTGCTCCAAATGTAACACCTATTTAGGGGATTTAATAATTTCTTCAATGAGTAACTTAAACATTAAGCTAAAAAACGAACTTTAAATTTGAAATTCAACTATTACAATATCAAAACATTGAAAAAACTATAAGCACCTGTATTATATCTTGAAGTATCAAGAAGAACTAGATGCCTCGTGTAAAAAAAACTAGATCCCACACCAGAACAATGAACAAACGCACCAGAAGTTCAATGTAACCGTGTAAGAATCGAGAAAAAAGGAGAAAACAAAGAAATGCTCCATACCCACGAACTCATGTTTGTTGAACCTCAAATGAACATTAGTTTTAATTCAATTTCATTCAGATTCACAGACTTACACCTTCTGAGCTTACAAGTGCCTTTTATAGGCTACATTGCACAACCTTATGCAGATTTTTGGTTTACCAAACCACTAGACAAACATAAATTGAGAAACAAGTACAGAGATCGCTTTCTTTGTCTCCCAAACCCAGCTGGCAGAGGCTTTGGCATCTTTCCTTAGCTGTGGTTCCAAAAATAGCTGGCTTGAACTAAATAGCAGCTTCAAACCATCTCCTTGTCAAGCAAGGTTTCATTTCCAGGTTGCCTTGATGTTCCTTCCTTCTTCCTTGTTTGTTTCTTGTGCAGTAGGCTTCATTGCTTCTTTTGCTGAAGGAGATGGAAGGTTTGAGTGGATTAGTTTAGGAATTTCTTTTAATTTTTAATTGATTTGGGATAGAAAATAACTAAAAAGGAGCTAATGAGGGGTAAATGCATCATTTCCATCACTTAACAGATAATAAGATGAAAGAATATATTCGTTATATTTTTAATAATAGAAGGATATATTTGTATAAAAATTTAATAAAAAGTTATGTTTATTAATTTACAATAGTAGAAGGGCACAAAATACTATTAACCCGGTCTTTTATAATTATTTGGTATCCTACTAATTTAGGACATTTCAAGTATTATTGTGGAATTACTTTGGTGCGGTACTTTACTGTATATCACCTACAGTTTTACAAACCATAAAATCCAGCCATGTGTAACCAGTTAGATGTTTGATCCACCGGCAAAAAGTTCGACCCATCGGGATTGTCACCGTGTACTTCCCATCTTCTGCGCGTTGGGCATATCTGAGTGGACAAAATAAATGTGAAGTACCCAAGAAAATTTGCCATCATCTTAAACCAATCTAGCTAATTGGCGTTAACTAGAATTAAATGTGAAATACTAGACTTCTTATAATAATTTAACCCTCTGAATGAAAATTCGGCATTCTTGGATATTAAGTGATCCTCCAAAAGAAGAGCACTATTATTATCCTCTAAAATATTGGTGCGTTAAAGTACAACTTGAAATTGTAACATAATGTTAAAGGTATAAATTGAAATTGTACTATGATAGAATTTGACATTTATATTAAGGTACAATTCAAGTTGTACCATAATATAAAAGTAGATATTTAGTTTGTACCATAAAAATATTTTACAGAAAAGTATAAATATAATCTGAAATTGTACCGTAACGTTAAAAATACAACTTGAAGTTGTACTATAAAATTAAAAACTAAAACACTAAGCATTAGTAAAATTCCTCCCAAAATAAAGAGTTCCAAGTAGTTGATTAACTCATACTTAATTCCCCGCCCATTAATTCTTGGATTTACTTCGACCGGCCGGCCGCTGCCGCTACTGTTGCCGTCGAGTGCCTGCTCCACATTAGATACACAAAATATATAACGCCAGAGAAAGTGCATATAAAAAGAGTCCTTGGATTGAGTATCCATACAAATCGAAATAAGCAAAGCCTCAACTGTCTGACACTAATTAAGAAGAAGAAGTCATCAATATCACAATATGGCTTCTAATCATTCCGGCCGGCCGTATTTGTTGGTGGCGTTGTTGGCGATGGCGGTGGCCACCGTGGTTGTGGCTCAACAGAGGTCTCCGAGGCAGTATGCGGTTGGGGGCCAGGCTGGCTGGACTGTCAATTTCAACTATCTGCGTTGGGCCAGTGGCAAGGACTTCCGCGTTGGAGATTCACTTGGTATATATATATATATATATCTTTATTTAATATTTATAACCCCATAAATATCCTTCATTTATATACGAAAATAATTTACATTAAAAAGAAATTACATTCTCGTCATCGATGTATCTTCTTCTGCTTGGAAACAGTTTTCAACTATCCAAGGGGCGCCCACAACGTGATGAAGGCAAACCGGACGGAGTTCATGACGTGCACCGTCCCACAAGGCCGGGACGACCTTCTCACTTCTGGAAACGACACCGTTGTGCTGGAGAGCCCAGGGAACAAGTACTACTTCTGCGGCGTGGCGAGTCACTGCGCGGAGCTTGGACAAAAGCTGGCCATAACTGTGAGACCCCGATCCATCTTGGCACCCGCCGGCGCTCCTTCTCCGAGTCAGGCCGCGACCGAGGGTCGACCAAGTTTTGCTTTTGGCTTTTTCTGGTGATGTTGTGGTAGTTAATTAAAGCATCTGGACTTATCGGCATTTTAGGTAATGGAGTAGTGACAAAGAATAAGACTAGTATGACTCTCTCTCTCTCTCTCTCTACAATAGGTGGAGTCGCTTTATTTACGTGATATCGTCATTAGGTGAAGAGGGTGAAAAGCAGCAACTCTAAATTTCAAGCATTTTTCTTCTGTTTTTTTTTTATTCCGACTATCATTTTACTGACAATCAAAGTCTCTTCTCTTGACACCTCCAGTGGAGTGGAGACAAAACACATAATTCACGCATGTTTTCATTCATTCACATAAATTAAATTTGAGTTTATTCAAGATCTATTTTCGCTATTTACGTATGTAAGAGTGTTGATTAATCACAAAATTGTAAAATCAAAATTTAATTTTTAAAATATATCAAAATAAATGTTATTGTGTAGATTATGATCAAGACAACACATTTTTAAGATTAATTGAGAATTCAAATTTAATTTCATATACTATAGTGAATACAACTTTTTAAGAGGAAAAAGTCGGATTTTCTATTTACATGAATAACTTACACTCCTATGTAAATAACTATAGTATTACGTGAATAAGAACCAAATAACATGAATGTATAAAAATACATGAAAAAGTTGACTTTAGATACTTTGTCTTTAAAGAGAGTCTTAGAGGTTCATCCTTCTTAACTAAGTCCCGGTGATTTTATAAGCGTAAAAAAGATAAATGAAGGAATAAAGCACAAACAAGAGAACTTTTACCTTTACTAATACCAATCCCGTCAAGGTCCAAGCTCTCATATCCGCAATAGGACTTCATTAACCAGTCTATCGAAATTGATGGTGGAAGACCCACCAGGTCCAGTTGCTTCCTGGGCCAGTTTGGCCCACTCCACCGCCTTGTTCCTCATCTTCTCCCCCTTCTCCCCATTCATTAGCTCCCTAACCAGCTTCTCCACGGCTGCCCTCTTCACATCCTTCTCCACTTCCATCCCGATCCCCCACTCCGTACAAGCAAACCTGCAGTTCATCGGCTGGTCGCCGAAGAACGGTCAGCAAAGCATCGGAACTCCCGCCGTCAAGCTCTCCATCATCGAACCCCACCCGCAGTGGGTCAGAAACCCTCCCACCGCGGCATGGTTCAGTACTTCCTCCTGCGGGCACCACCCGGAGATGAACCCGATTCTGTCCGCCTTATCCTTGAACTCCGGCGGAAGAACCGCCGATTCACCGGCGACCAGGTCGGGCCGTATCACCCAGAGGAAGGAAACCTCGCTGTTGACGAATCCCATCGCGAATTCGACTAGATGTTGCTTCGACATTGTTGTGATGCTTCCGAAGTTGACGTAGATGACGGAATTGGGCGGTTTGGTGTCGAGCCAGCGGAGGCACTGCGGCTCTTCCTTCCACAGGCTGTAGCTGATCGAGTCGAGGGTCGGGTGGGCAGATTCGGTTTGATTCAGGAGGAGTTGCATTGGTCCAACCGGGTAGACAAGGTTAGGGTACATTGTGTTGAGGGCGGCGAGGACGTCTGGCTCGAGGGCGTCGAACGTGTGAAGCAGCAGAGCCGAAACCTTGGGCGTGGCGTCGGCTCCTACCATATGGTGGTGAAACAAAGGTTCTTCTGGGTTGGTTGTTTTGAAGAAGCTCGGCAGATCTCTCAGACGAATTTTCTAGAGCTCTACACCATCTCTGCAGCAGCAGGATGAAAGGCCAGTTGTGCAGGTGGATGCTGGAGTTAGGGATAAGGGTAAGGAAATTGTGATATTTGAAGAGGATCCTCAATTAAGTCCTGTGGTTGGTAATCTTGCTACTCCGCAGAAAGAGGCATCTATAAAAGCTCTCTCTCAGAACCTTGAGAAATCCTTTTGTGAAGTGGCTGGGTCTTCATCTCCTAATTTGCCGTCGGAAACAGAATTTCAACGAGTGGTCCATGGTGCCAAGCCTCGAGTCTGGTCGCCGCAATGCCCGTCGGGATTTCAGGTTTCTGCATCTCCTTTTAGTGTGTTGAGCAAACTCGATGAAGAGTCAACAAAGCTGCAGGATGCTCCAAAGACGAAGGATTCTAAGAAGGAGGGTAAGAAGGGTGGAGGAGGAGGGGAGGGGTTAAGCCCTCTACTTCCAAATGATTGTCTTATTTTGGAAAGTGAGGGGGTTAAATAAAACCTCCACTGTAGGAATAAAGTAGATGTAGTAGCGGTACTATAAACTAGAATACAAGCGAATAAAGCTGATGAATCATTGGAGGAAGTATTTGAGGGGTGGAAGAAATGTTTGAATTGTAAAGATTCAAATCTTGGGCGGATTTGGTTGTTCTGGAATCCAGACATTAATCTTACAGTCTTGCAGCCAGGGAAGAATTTTGTTCATTCAGTAGTGGAAGAATACAATAATGAGAGGTTCTTTTTAACAGTAGTCTATGCTGCAAATGATGAGGTGGAGAGGAAACAGACATATACTGAAATTGGGAGAATTCAGGTTGGGGACTATCCATGGCTAATTGAGGGTGACTTCAATGTTGTTCGTACCTCTGAAGAAACTTCTAATGTTAGAAATGTCACTGCTAGTATGATTGACTTTAATGAGTGGATAGATATGCTGGAGTTGTTAGATTATAGAACCACAGGACCTCAGTTCACGTGGACAAACCGGCAGCAAAATAATCCTATTGCATAAAGGTTGGATAGGGCTCTAGTAAACATGAAATGGGTGGAGGTTTTTAAGGATTGTTCTATGGAAGCATTTCCTGCTCCTTTCTCAGATCATTGTGGTATCCAAGTATGCACAGAAGCGCCTATCAAATCGATGCCTGAACCGTTCAAATACTTTGAATTTTGGGCGGAGCACCCATTATTCCTGCCAACAGTTGAGAATGCCTGGAAAAAAGAAGTTAGAGGATCTCCCTTGCAGGTAGTTCATGGTAAGCTTAAGGAAGTGAAGAAAGCCTTGAAGAAATTCAATCAGGAAGTATATGGTGAGCTTCAGGATCAGGTAAGGGATGCTAAGAAAGACCTGAAGCAAGCACATTTGCTTGCCTATTCGGACCCCACTGGGGAGCATTTTGCTGAAGTGCGTTTGATGGAGGAGAAGTATGAGCTGATATCAGCTGCTTATGAGAGCTTTTGCTGGCAAAAATCACGAATTTCATGGCTCAATCGTGGGGATAAAAGTTCTGGTTTCTTCCACCAAGCAGTAAAAATTCGAAACTCCAAAAAGGCAATTCGGAAGCTAGTAAATTATGTGGGGGTTCCCTTAACTCAGTCAGAGCAGATTGTAGATGAGGTGGCCACTTATTACAAGAAACTATTAGGGGAAGTCAATGCAGAAATTCTCCCAACCCGAGCAAAGGTGGAATCTGTGGTCAGAGTGCAGATTCCTGAACCTGACAAATATGTCTTGGTGAAGCCTATCACTGCTGAGGAAGTCAGAAGTGTTGTTTTTGGAATGAACTCTCAAAGGGCCCCTGGCCCTGATGGTTTCTCTGCAGGTTTCAATAAGATGACCTGGCATATTATCGGTGTAGATGTTACAAGAGGAGTACTGGATTTCTTTCAAAGGGGTAATCTTCCTGGTGGAATTAATTCCACAGCTGTTTCTTTAATCCCTAAGATCTTTAATGCTGAGCACCTTAAGAACTTTAGACCTATTTCCTGTGTGAACCTTCTATATAAGATTATAGCAAAAATTCTATCAAACGGGATTAGGGAGGTTCTCCCTTTGATTATCAACCCTACACAGTCTACTTTCATTAAGGGTAGAAGTATCATGGATAACATTCTCTTAGCTCAAGAATTGGTCAGTGGCTATCATAGGTCTGGACTATCATCTGGATGTGCTATAAAGATAGATGTAATGAAAGCCTTTGACTCTGTCAATTGGAATTACCTTTTCCTAATGATGGCGGCTATGGGATTTCCAGAAAGATTTCTTAATTGGATCAAGTGTTGTGTGCAGACAGCTCACTACAATATTAATGTGAATGGGAGTTAGTGTGGAATTTTTAGAGCTCGGAAAGGAGTGAGGCAGGGGGATCCTCTGTCCCCATACCTCTTTACTATTGCCATGGAGGGTCTCTCCACATTACTGTTGCAGGCTAGTCAAGCAGGTAGAATTCCTTATCATCTCCAGTGCAAAAGAATAGGATTGAATCATCTATGTTTTGCGGATGATATCCTTATGTTTACCTCTGGATCTGCCCAAGCCATTCTTCAAGTCAAATCTGTTTTGCAAGAATTTTACATCATCTCTGGACTTAAATGCAACCCCTCAAAATGTGAAATATATTTTGGAGGGGAATCTGTTAATTTCAAGAACAGTACTTTGTCTCTCTCGGGGTTCCAGGAGGGTTCCTTGCTAGTTAGGTACTTGGGTTTACCTCTACTCACAGGGAAGCTATCTTCAAGAGAAGTGGATATTCTGGTTGATAGAATAACTAAAAGAATTCGATCATGGCATGCTAAGAAGCTTACATATGCTGGAAGATTGCAGTTGATTAGTTTTGTTTTATTGGGGATTGTTCAATACTGGATGCAGATTTTTGTCTTACCCAAATTGATTCTCAAGAGGGTGCAGAAACTCTGCTCTCAGTTTTTATGGCATAGTACTGATGAAGGTCGTGCAAAGGTGGCTTGGGATAAAATTGCCCTTCCAAAGAGAGTAGGTGGTCTGGGGGTAAAGGATCTTTTGGCCCGGAACCAGGCTTGTACTGTGCGAATGCTTTGGTTGTTTCTCCTTAACTCAGGTACTCTCTGGGTGGCCTGGATGTATGACTATAAGTGTAAGCAGGGAAATCTTTGGTCGATGAAGCTCCAGGCTAGCAGTTCTTGGACTTGGAGGAAGCTGTTAAAACTGAGGCACACTGTCAGTCCTTGGCTACGACGAGAAACTGATGGAGTCTACAGGGGATCTCGCCTGATGCACACATTCTCAGTCAAAACAGTATGGGATTTGCTTTGTAGCAGGCAGCAAGAGGTCCAGTGGTATAGACTTATCTGGGGTGTGCCATGTCCTCCTCGCTATAGTCTAATTGCTTGGCTTATTGTTAAGCATGCCATTGTGACTAAGACAAAACTACAGCAGTGGGGGAAAATCACTGATTCTTCCTGTGTTCTATGTGGGTCTGCAGCCGAAACTATAGAGCATTTATTTCTGCAGTGTATGTTCACGCGCAGAGTTGCAGTTATTCTGAGGTGCAAACTCTTGAATTTTTGGGATTGGGACTTAATGCATGTTATCTGAGGTTAGTGTTATGGCTCGCCAAGGTACTTCTGGAAGTTGGCATGGGACGATTTGGTGCATGCTGCTAGCATTCATTTGGAAAGAACGTTG